TGGAGTCCCGGGATCGAGTCCCACATCGGACTCCCCGCTCAGCGGGGAGTCTGCCTCTCCCTCTGACCCTCCCCCCCTCATGCTCTCTCTCTCTCATTCTCTCTCTCAAATAAATAAATAAAATCTTAAAAAAAAAAAATTAAAAAATAAAAAGAATTCATACTTCTTTGTTGACTACATCTAGAGTTTTGAGAAATACAGTCATGTAACCAAGATAGAGACTATTTCCGTTTCCCTAAAAATTGCCCATGTGCTCCTTTGTGGTTAATTCCCGTCCCCCTGCCCCCACCCCCGGCAAGCGCTGATGCTGGCGTGGTGTTTGTTCCCATGGTCCTGTCTTTTCCAGAACATCTACAGCCCTCTGTGTCTGGAGTCACTCACTTAGCACAGTGCTTTTACAATCCATGGCTGGTATTACATGTATCAGTGGCTTGTCCTTTTTGTTGCCAAGTATCATTGCATCTGTTTATACGTTCTGTTGAGAGTTTGGGTAGTTTCCAGTTTGGGGTGATTATGAATAAAAATAGGATTTTCTTTTAACTGTTTTTGTTATTTTATCTACATTTGTAACCATTGAGACTTGAACAAGATAGGAAAAAAAGCTTTAGGCAAAATCAGTTTTGTTTTAAGAGATTCACAACTATTTAGGGGCGCCTGGGTGGCTCAGTGGGTTAAACATCTGCCTTCGGCTCAGGTCATGATCTCAGGGTCCTGGGATCGAGCCCCGCATCGGGCTCCCTGCTCAGCGGGGGTCTGCTTCTCCCTCTGCTCCTCCCTCCGCTTGTGCTCTCTCTCAAATAAGTAAGTAAATTCTTAAAAACAAAAAAGAGAGATTCACAACTGTAAAGAAGATTCCCTCTGGAACTTTGGGATGGTTGGTTTCAGGCTCACTGAATTTTTTCCCCTCTGTTTATACTTCTGAATATCTTTCTCTGAAACTTAGCTACTGTCCATCTCATGCGAGCAGATCCTTTGATCCTGACAGAGGCCGTTCCCTGGACAAATGGTAACTCTGTCCAGCAGAGAAGCCTTGCGTGGTGTTAAGCCTTTCCGTTGCTCCCGGCAGGTTGGGCATGGAAGGACTGGAGACGGCAGAGGAGTCCAGCTCGGAGACCTCGGATGATGACCGGGAAGGAGCTCCTAGTACTTCAGGAATGAGCTCCCATGCTGCAGACAACGGCCTCGATGGTGTGGAGCCAGCAGCTGGGTGTCCCCGCCACTGCCCTGGGGCGGCCGTGGCCAGTGCAGCCTCTCAGTCCCCGGAGCCACTGCCGGCCCCAGGGCCGGGCTTGGCGCGCGCTGTCTCCGCAGATGTGTGTGCCGAGTCGGGGCAGATCTCTGCTCAGGGGCATGTGGGCAGGACAGTGGCCACGGAGGAGGAGGGAGGGGCAGAGGGCGAAGAGCCCACAGAAGAGGAGGCTGCGGGGATGGGACCAGCCCAGGAGCCCAAGGCGGAGGCCGATGGGGACAGAGCTGCCGAGGCTGCGCCTGGAGAGGCTGGGGGGAGCACGCCCGCCGCCAGACTGGAGGGAAGCCCATCAGGAAACACAGTGAGTAGTTTGGGGTCTACACCCAGAGCCAGGGCAGCTCGATGGCCACAGTTCCTCAGTAAGTCCTCAGCATGAAACGTGCTTTTCCCCATCGGCTGCTGAGTGCGAAGCTTTGTTTCTTAACCAGAAGTATGGATGAGAGCAAAGCTCGACTCAGCCCCCCAAAAAGTCCTTTGGTTTTTTCCTTTTAAACTCCGGAATGTGTACCGTTTTGCCACCAGGGGGCGTCCTTGGCTCCATAGTTTATCTGTTCTAAGCTGCAGGTTGATCACATTTTAATGCCTGAATTGGGGTGGATGTCCCTCATGAGCGCTTAACTGGTGTGGTTCACACGCTGAGCAGGGAGCCCGATGCGGGGCTCGATCCCAGGACCCCGGGATCATGACCTGAGCCGAAGGCAGACGCTTAACTGACTGAGCCCCCCCAGGTGCCCCACATGATTGGGAGGAGTCTGTTTTTAATATTTTCCTTTTTCCCATTCAGGATACTGGTCAGCAAACTCTCGATTTGCTGGCTTTCAGCTCCGCGGCAGAGCTGGAGGCGCTGGGTTTGGACAGGCTCAAGTGTGAACTCACGGCCCTGGGACTGAAATGTGGGGGCACCCTGCAAGAGCGCGCGGCCAGACTCTTCTCCGTCAGGGGCCTGGCGAGGGACTACATCGACCCGGCTCTGTTCGCCAAGCCTTTGAAGGGGAAGAGGAAATGAATGTCTTCAGAGCTGCTTCCCTAGTTCTTCACAGTCTGGCGTTTGTAACCTGCAGAATGTTGACTCCCAGCCGTTACTCCTATCAATAGTAAAGCTCACTTTTTAATAACCCAGTTCTGACCCTCCTCTTTTTTCATTATTGTATTTATAGAATTAATGTGTGAAATCATGGGCCTGCAGTGTTCTTCGTGGGATGGTTTTTTAGAACAGATTTAATTTAATAAATACAGGGCTATTCAGATTTTTGGTTTCAGCTTCTGTCATTAGGTAAGTTACACAGTTGACCCTTGAACATCACAGGTCAGGAAAGCACGGATCCACTTATACGTGGATTTTTTTTCTATCAATACAGTACAGTACTGTCAATATATTTTCTCTCATGATTTTAATAACGTTTTCCAATGCTCTTCATTGCTAGAGCGCAATATATAACCCATACCACATACAGAACACGTGATGTTCATAGGAGTCCCTCCTTATTCTTTTAACATCTGTAGGAGCCGTGGTGGTAACTGCTTTTTCATCCTGGGACTGGTGGTTTCTGTTTGCTACTTCCCCAGTCGGTCTCACAGGGGCTTTGTCAGTTTTGTTGAGGTGATTTTCAAAGAACTAGCTTCTGGCTTTGTTAATTTTTCTCAACTTTTTCAGTTTCATTCATTTCTTTTTTTTTTTTTAAAGATTTTATTTATTTATTTGAGAGAGAGAGAATGAGAGAGAGCATGAGAGGGAGGAGGGTCAGAGGGAGAAGCAGACTCCCCGCTGAGCGGGGAGCCCGAGGCGGGACTCGATCCTGGGACTCCAGGATCATGACCTGAGCTGAAGGCAGTGGCTTAACCAACTGAGCCACCCAGGCGCCCTGATTTCTGCTTTTTATTGTTAACTTTCTTCTACTTAGTGTGGATTTACTTTGCTCTTTTTTCTTTAGCTCAAGATAGGTCATAGGTCATGATTTTAGACTTTTCTAGTAGAGGTGTTTAAAGTTACACGTTTTTCTTTAAGCACTACTTGGGCTGCATCTCAATTTTTAATATGTTGTGTTTTCATTATCATTCAGTTGTAAATATTTTCTAATTTCCTTGTGAATTCTTTGACCCGTGGGTTGATTATCTAGAAGCATATGGCCTAATTAGCAGATGTCTGTTTTGTTCCCTCAGTATCTTATTGGTACTGATTTGTACTTTAATTCCATCAAGGTTAGAGAATGTGTTTATGATTTCAGTCTTTTTAATTTTATTGAGACTCCTAACATGACCCAGTATATGTATGGTCTGTCTTGGTGAAGTTCCACATTCACTTGAAAAGAATATGTACTCCAAAATGTTGGGTGAATTTGTTCTCTAATACCGGCTAGGTTATGTATTAATACTACTGCTGTTCACATCTTCCGTGTCTTCACAGATTTTTTGTGTCTTATCAGGTGTTGCGAGGTGTTAAAATCTTCTGTTACGATTGTGCAATTGTCTGTTTCTTCTATCAATTTTGCTTCATGTTTTGAGGGCCTGTTATTAGGTTATGTTATGTCCTCCTAATGAATTGACCATTTGATTGTTAAGAAATTCCCCTTTATCTCTGCTAATAGCTTGTATGTTCAATTCTGTTGTATCTGAAGTGAGTTAGAGCTCCTGCAGCCTTCTAATGTGTACCGTGTGCGTGATACACCACTTTCTGCCTCTCTCTGTCTTTCTACTTAAAGTGAGTGGCATTCTTGTACACAGCACATATTGGATCTTACACTTCTCTCTGTTCTGGACAGACTCCACCTTTCAATTCGTGTTTATCAATATAAGCTGTGATTACTGGCAGGGTCAGATTTAGGGTTATCATTTTACTGTTTTTCTGCTTGGATTAGTTTATTGTAGAGTTTTACATTTTATTGGTTTGCGTTTTAGCTCTCCTGTCTGCATAGTTTTTTAGTGGATGCTCTAGGAGTTATGACATCTATTCTCAGTTTTTCAGTCGGCCTAGAGCTCATGTACTACTTCACATAAAATGTAGCAGTCTTGCAACTGCATAGGTCCATTTACCATCCCCGTCATTGATGGTCTTGTTTTCATACATATATATTAAACTGTATTCCTTATAAGCCCTGTCACATGTTGCAATTTCTACTTTAATCATGTATTTTATTTTATTTTTTAAAAGAGTATTTATTTATTTGTCAGAGAGTGCATGCACAAGCAGGGGGAGCGGCAGAGGGAGAAGCAGACTCCCTCCCGAGCAAGGAGCCTGATGCAGGGCTGGATCCCAGGACCCCGGGATCATGACCTGAGCCGAAGGCAGATGCTTCACCCACTGAGCCAGCCAAGCGTCCCAAACCTATATTTTAAAGAAATTAAGAAGAAGAGGGTTTCCTCGGTGCCTCCGTTAGTTGGGCGTCTGACTCTTGGTTTCTGTTCAGGTCGCGATCTCAGGGTCATGAGATCCGAGCCCTGAGTCAGGCTCCACTCTCAGCAGGGAGTCTGCCTGGGATTCTCTCTCCCTCTCCCTCTGGCCGTACCCCGCCCCCCGCAAAAATAAATAAATCTTAAGAGAAAGGGATAAGTTGGGATGCCTGGCAGTTGGTTAAGCATCTGCCTTCGGATCAGGTCATGATCTCAGGGTCCTCGGATCGAGCCCCGCATCGGGCTCCCTGCTCGGCGGGAAGCCTGCTTCTCCCTCTCCCACTCCCCCTGCTTGTGTTCCCTCTCTCTCTGTGTCTCTCTCTGTCAAATAAATAAAATCTTTTTTTTTTAAAGATTTTATTTATTTATTTGAGAGAGAGAGAATGAGAGAGAGCACGAGAGGGCAGAGGGTCAGAGGGAGAAGCAGACTCCCCGCCGAGCAGGGAGCCCGACGTGGGACTCGATCCCGGGACTCCAGGATCATGCCCTGAGCCGAAGGCAGTTGCATAACCAACTGAGCCACCCAGGCGCCCAATAAATAATCTTTTTAAAAAAAAAGAGAAAGGAATAGGTGAAATTAATTTTAATAAAATTAACATTTATCCCAATATATTCAAAGTCTCATTTCAACATGTAAACAATATGAGATTTTGTTGTTTTTTGTGCCAAGTCTTTGAAATCCGGTGTATGCTTTAGACTCACAACACTTCTCAGTCAGGACCAGCCACCTCTCATGCTAGATCGGACTTTGGGGCGCTAGTGCATGGGTTGGGAAGGCATCATGGGGAGCTCTCTTAATCTAAACCAGCACACACACGGCCTTGAAGAGACCTAACACGAAGACACTTGACCCCCAGAGCTCAGCACCGACCTGTCCCTGTGCCCAGAATGTTCTTTCTCCACCTGCCCACAGAGATGGCTCACTTCTCACCGCCATTTAAAACAGCAACTACCGGGCATCTGGGTGGCTCAGTTGGTTAAGCGTCGGCTCAGGTCATGATCCCAGGGTCCTGGGACCGAGTCCCGCATCAGGCTCCCTGCTCCGCGGGAGGCCTGCTTCTCCCTCTCCCACTCCCCCTGCTTGTGTTCCCTCTGTCACTGTCTCTCTCTGTCAAATAAGTAAAATCTTAAAAAAAGTATCAAATAACATCTCAAAAAAATAAAATGGCAACTACCCCTTCATACACATCTTTCTTTCCTGCCTGTTCTTTTTCGTACTGCCAATTTTCATACTAGTTACTTATTAAATACCTCTCCCCCCATAGGGAATAATTTCCATCGTGGCAGAGATTTCTGTCTGCTCTGTTAATGCCTTGTGCATAGAAGGTGCTCAGCAAATAACGTATTGAATGAGTGAATGAATGCACTAGTCTAGTAATATGATGTATTTTATAAGACGATAAATAGAATTCAGCACTCAGTGGATCACTGGGCGTATCCCGTGGGGTGTGTTTGACACGTTTGCTTGTAGGCCTGGGTGCCTTTGAAGGTTGTGGAGGAAAATGACTGGAAGCGGATAGTTTACTAGAATAGAATCTGAGGGCAGCTGAAGTGCAGGCAGGAATGGCGGTCCCATAGAAAGGGTTCTGTTTTCCTCTACCGCCCGCCACCAGAAGCACCCCTGGGCTCGGTGAGGAAGGCAGGCGCCCCCCCGTTGCCAGCAGGGGGAGCTGGGCGCTAACACGTGGTTCCGTAACAGTACTACCCTCCGCACACAATTCTTTCCCAACCACTTGCTCTCCTGTGTGGCTGGGGGATTTGAGTATCCTTGCACATCCACAACTTGATTTTTGTGCTCTAAAACATTTTTTGGGGGTGTAGCTGTGTCTTGTACATTTTGACATAGGTATTTCTGCCTGGTCCCCTCACTTCATGTCAGTGGGAAAGGTCTGCCCTGATGCGATATTCCAGCTCACTCCTGCCCGTGCGGCCCCCAAGCACCCTGTGCCTTTTGTGCGCTTAGTGCTTGCCGTCACCCCAAGCAAATGCCAGGACCTTGATTTGGGAAACAAATGTGTTCGAATGAAATATCTTTGCTATCGCTTTGTGTAGCAGAGTTCCACCTAAGATGCTATTTATGCAAATAGGGTTTACTGATAAAAATGACGTTGAAAGCTTCCGGGCATAATTCTTTATATCCTTATTTTGGAAACATGACTTTTGGGAAAATGGATAGTCCCGAACCGAGTAAAGTGGGAAGGCGGGGTAGATGATGGTGCTGAGACAGAAGAATGGAATACTGTGACTCTTGTTAAGAGAGGCCAGATGTAAAAAATTGTATGCAGAGAAGCAACATTGTTACGTGACAACAAGGATGACGCTGCGGGAGGAATGAGCATGAGGCCGTTCGGGTTACTGTTTCCCCAGATTATCCCTGGGGGATGTGAAACGGACTATTTCCTCTCTTCCCAGTCTCCTATACTCCCTAAATAATCCATGATCAGCCTCCTCGTGTCATAATGACACATGTTAAGGCTCCCGTACGGGGATATGTCCCTGTGGTTTGGTTCCGTTTTACTCAACAGATGCCCGTGAGTGCCTGCCCCGAGCTCTGCTCTACGTGGCCGTGGGGGTGCCCTTCTCCCAGACGGGGCTCAAAGCTGGTAGCAAGAGCAGGTG